GGATTAATGTAGTGGGTGAATGGTGGGAAACGCCCACCATGGTGCATGGTGGGTATGGTGGGTGCTGCAGTGTCGGCAACACTTGAGCGCGAAATGACGTCAGAATCACCGTGACGAGCTGCCACAAAAAATAAAAAAGAATTCTATAAAAACGGTATAAAAAAACACCCGTCCCGTAAAAAAAAAAAAAAAAAAACAAGGCACCACGGAGGATCGAACGTGCAACCTGCGGATTCCCATTCAAAGACGCTGACCACTGCGCCACACCAACATGACGATTATTGTGTGTTAAATACTTAGTTAGCATACAAACCTAAGGCTCAACTTGAGTTATGTTTGTCGTGTACACAACATAGACAAGATCTACACCTGCTACTCAAAATTGCACATTTATTAAACACAAGCAACTGCGGCCTGTAACGATTGCCACTATGTAATGGCACTAGTGCTATTTTTTTACAATTCACAACTTCAAGAAAAAAAAAACAAGTTGGACTGGGGAGCAGCAACAGTTTGCCGGCGGAGTCTGCCAAGTTTAATATCCGTTTCGCGCTCGTTCTAAAGGGCGACATCTGCTCACGCTTTATGACGCTTCTAGGCTCATTCTATAGATACGCCCGCCTAATTTATTTGATTGAGTATTGGGATGCTTTTCGCACAGTGTAGAGGGCGGTCGCGCCAGCGCAATGCTGTAGCTCTTTGGCTAAAGTAACAACTACATAACGGCTTGGCCAAAACGAATGCAGTGTGCCAGAAACATTACGCTATCATATTGGTTCACCAAGCACACGAATTGCCACGTCTGAGTTCTCGTACAAGAGCTAGAGAAGTGCCGGCGAGTGCGACCGGCGGCTGTCGGTGAGAAGACACTTAATTACGTTCTCTGGGAGTGCTTTAATCGCGTCGCATCGATGTTTATTGCTTCTTGAGTGGACACCACACACAATGAAAAATGCTTCATTTAGGTTAATTGATGTCATACTGCTGCGCTGTACTGTCGTACTTAATCGTCGTAATCGTGTATTCTGAAACCCGGAAGCACGGAAAACACAATTGTACGGGCCCGGTCAGTAGGCCCAACCTTTGGTGGAAATCATGGTGGTAGAACATGTAGTGTACAGATCCCAGCTTGGTACACTATATGAATTGCCCGCTGTATAAGCCCACCCATTATCTGCTTACTGCTTCCCAGCATTATCGCGATGGTGGGCAGAGCTTCTCAGCTTGGTACAGCATGTGGCCCACCGTAACAAGCAGCACCCATCATCTGCTTAGTGCTTCCCATCATTATCGCAATGGTGGGAAGAGTTTCTCAGCTTGGTACACCATGTAGCCCACCATAATAAGCACCACCCACAATATGTATAGGGCTTCCCAGCATTATCGCAATGGTGGGCAGAGTGTCCCATTATTGCCCACTATCTAGCCTCTGCTTTCCACCATCATTTTCACTTTACCCATCATCTGTACACCATGCCACCCAGTATGTCCCGGCATAACCACCATATTTTCCACTACGTCCCACCATAGCCATCATAATTTCCACCATGCCCACTATTATTTCCACTACTCCCACCATGTTTTCCAGTATCCACCATGGCAATTTTTCCGATAGGGGAGCCTTTTTTAAATATTCTTTGGGATGCTACAAGCACACTGCCGGGTATCTACTGCGCCTTAATAATAAATTTTGTGTAGTTGGCCAGCATCCACTATGCTATCCGAAGTGATTCTTTGGAAAAGCGTGGTATTCGCTAAACACTTGTTGATAATTTTGTGGAATTTTCTAAGAAGTTGCTGAGGACAATGAAAAAATATGCCAGAAGTGGGTATGCACCAAGGTTATTGGGTGATCAAGAACAAGTTTTCTAATGAATTGGAGCATTGCACGACCCAGTCGTTGTGCGATTACCATTGTGCGACGCCTGGCTGTTCCTTGGATGTTCTGAAACTCCTTACTACTCACATTACCGCGATTTCTTTCCTGACGTGAAGCCAGCTTAAGGCCGGTTTAGAAACGAGTTCCAAGAACTGGCGTAACTCAGTGGTAGAATATTGTGCTGGCACGCAGTAGACCCGAGTTTGAATCCCATTGTGTCAGTGATGCTTTTCATTTACTGAGTTCCAAGCACTGGCGTGGCTCAGTGGTATAATACTGGGTAGGCAAGCCGTTTTCTCGTTAGTGTTTTCTTCGTTGCATAGTGGTTACAGACACTGGTGATGGCGGACAACTCTGGCACCGCGCGTAACCCGTGTTCTTATCTCAAAATGGCTTTCACTCTAGAAGGCCTAACACATTCATAATGCCCATGCAACCTCTTTGGTTATGATAGCACTAAGCCCTGTATTCAGAAACGCTTCTTTGCTTGAAACAGTCTTCAATGCAGCGCGTTTGAAACGTGTCTGTGCGTTCGTGCTGTCTTGGTACTGCCTCAAGATATCGCGTTCGAAACGCGTTAATACTGCATTGAAGTCGGTGGCTTGTCAAGTTCTAGTCCAGCGGCATTTCTAAATATGGTGGTTATAGTAACAATCACGAAATAATACCTACCATACTATCGTCATCAGTAGCAACAAGAGTGTGACAGCTATATTTGTCATGGGCGCAATTCTGTCTATAGTTACGTCACTGGTCTTCTCGCCCATCGATTATTGCATGCCACACACGTGTTCTGCAAGCGAAGCAGAAAGAAAATAAGACGACGACAAAGAGAGCATGTGCCGCCTCAACCATCCTCAAGATTCTATGGCGATCCTCAGTGAAGTCAGTTCAGAAAGCTCAAAACTTGGATTACTATACTTTGACACCACGTTCCCCCTCCAAAACTACATTTCCACAGAGCTGGTCAGGTGATATCATCCCTTTGTGCATTCTGCGAAATAATAGAAACAATTACATATTATCTTTTATCTTGTCGCCGATACTCTATACTTAAAAAAAAGACGTAGTTATTTCCTTTCTGTATATAGGCGTTAGATTGATGGCGGGAACTGCACTAAACTTTGGTGCCTCAGTTGTGGGATATTGCCACAGGGATGATTTCAATGCCGTTGACTATGTTATTTAGGCATCCAAACGTATTCCATTGTAATACTCATTCAAGTATTTATTATTGTGTATCATCAAAAACTGTTTAACATATTCTGAAAGGTTAGGTGAAGTAAACGCAGCTGTGTGGCCATCTCAAAACCTGAACTTTCAAAATTTCTCAAATTGAATTTTCGATTTCCTCTTTTTTTCCTCTCGTTTACTGTGGTTTTTCTTACATTAGTTACGTTTTAATGCATATTCATTCTTGCGCATAGTTGTAATGTTCACAGAAAAAGTACTCTACGTTTTCTTGACCATTACCCCTCAGTTTCTGTCCAGGCCACAGTGATTACGCTCGGTAACAAGACCTCCAACATTAAATAAAGATCGAGGACAGATTTGGTCTTGTCGGCTGTCTTCAACTTTCAAGACTGAGACTGTCCCTGATATTTGGATTAATGGTGGAAGCATACGCGATAAATAAACACGGAAGGTCGTATAGCACACAGGTAGCCACGACTATTACGATTAAGAGGTGTACAAATTTCAAGTAATTTAGCATGGTCGCTCCACATTACTAACAATAATGATTCTGCGTAACTAGTTGTCGCTATTCTTCGTCACAACCCATCCCTCGGCACCTACTTCTACCTAACTATTAGCTTATAGAACACTTGTAAGGCCTAAACTTCAGTTAGAAACTTTATTATTTCGTCACCAAGCCTATCTTAATACTATTCTAGAACGCATTCAGGGTAGTGCGTTGAGGTTATGATCTGAAATCATTCCACCAACCTAACCGAAATTTTAGCTTAACGTTCCTCCTCTTGTCACTCGCTGCGAAATTCTATGTAAGTACCTTTATTTTAATATAAGTTATTTCAATCCTTGCCACCAGGCAACAAATTTATCGGACCTGCATGTCACATCACGACATTGCCATCCGAACGCCATATATTCCGAATGCGCCCGAGCTATGATCCACCAGAATTTTTTCCCGTTAGTTAGCGCATGGCTGGGAGGGTGCTCTCGGCCGCATCCCCGTATCTACTACTTCGGCTCAATTTGAGATTTCCACGAAGGTTCCTACATCCTCATATTAACTGTGAAATGCTTTTATATTTGCTTTTCACCTTCTTTATCAGCTCAACTTGCAACCCAAGAAAGTGGGAGCTGCCTTTGGTAAATTGCTTACGCATCTACGAAGGTGGCGTTTTCATCTTTTGCCTAACTGTCACGTAACACAGCAGTCACAATAAGTTAAAGAACCAGACGGGGTCAAAATTTCCGGAGCCCTCCACTACGGAGTTTCTCATAATGTTATGATGGTTTTGGATGTTAATCCCCACATATCAATCATCATAATACGTTAAAAATTTCAAAGGCCCATGACGTGTCTATAACGTGATTGGTGACGCCATTACGTGATCAGTTTCACTCGTTTTGATGCCAATACTGCGGACGGTCAATTTTCGCGTTTGACCGGGAATCTAAAGCTTACATCTTTTAATTCCGTACTTGCATGCAAGCATTAGAATGGCACCGTGCTCATCGGTTTAAAGACTTGCAATTCGGTTTGCGAAGCTAAGTATATAGGAAGCGCCTTCCAGGCCATCGTATAACCCTAAAAGCGAGTAGAAGCCTTGAAGTGAAGAGAGCCAGGTAAAGCAGCGATTGGTGCATTATCGCGTTTTAAGTGCTTTTGTTTCCGCTTTTAGGCGTATCGGTTAAGTGCAGGGCGGGATACTTCCGTGCGTCTCTGCCAACCGGCACGTGCACGCTATCTGCTTCTTCCGCCGTTGCTGTGCTCAGCACAGGGTAGGCATCAGCTTCGTTACTGTCGCCGGGTGTGCGTAACGCACGTGTGATCCAGTACGTGCGTGCGCCGCCTAATATGCAGTATATAAGCTACCCACCGTGAATAGCGCAGACTCCATTCACCAAAGAGTGCTTGCAGCGAACGGTAACCATGAGCAAATTGGTGAGTATGGGCATGGGGCGCTGTTACATCATGGCACTTCAAGAAGTATTTTGATAGCAGCATCAAAATCGATGCGAGACAATTAGTTGAGGGCCTGTTATGTTGAGAGACCTCAGGCATTCTTTTCTCGATTTATTTAATAAATGATAGAAACGCTGATGTTGTGCGACAGTGAATTTTTTTTTTTCGCTGCATTAATCTGCTCGAAACCAACTTAGCATCGCCATGGCGTGAAGATACGATGTTTTTGAAATAAATACAGCAGTATAAGACTCGTTTGAAAGATTGTGCCTGAGTACATAAGTGGCGGGCAACCTTTACCATAATCCACCTTACACTGTCGACCATTTCGACAGCGTGATCTAACCTTAGCCAGTACTAGCAGTTTAGAAGCATATAAGGTGTGCCGAGATACCATCTGTGACTGTTGATTACTCACTCACAAAACGTAGCGGGATGTGTGAGTCAGATAGTTCAGCATGTGACGACATGAAATTACAACCACGGGAACTTCATTTTGATTTTTGTGAGCGCCAGATTGATTGATTTGTGGGGTTTAACGTCCCAAAACCACGATATGATTATGAGAGACGCCGTAGTGAAGGGCTCCGGAAATTTTGACCACCTGGGGTTCTTTAACGTGCACCCAAATCTGAGCACACGGGCCTACAACATTTCCGCCTCCATCGGAAATGCAGCCGCCGCAGCCGGGATTTGAACCCGCGCCCTGCGAGTCAGCAGCCGAGTACTTTAGCCACTAGACCACCGCGGCGGGGCATGAGCGCCAGAATTGATGATCTTTTGTCAGCAAGAATATAGGAACTGAATTCGAAATTCAACACATGCGACATCATCAAATGGCGTTTTGAATGATGATTCGCGTGAAAGTTTTTGACAACCTTTTTAAGTACAATGACTACTCGCGGAAGAAAGAGAGAAGAGGAAAAGCACATTTTAAATTAAAAATAGAGTGGAAGGATAACTTTACCGCAATCACCTTCATATCCTCTGACGCGTTTGATATGCTATCTGTGTGTGTTGTGTAGATTCTTGAAGTTTGTGCTAGTTGGCGGTGCAATGTAGATGGCCTTTTTGGCGTGACCATTTTGCATTACGTACCGAGACTTGTTATTCAATGCGACAGCTGTTGCAGAATTTACCCGAACGTATATACGAACCATGAGGTGTTCTACGGCAGAGAGTTTTTCACCAGCCTACTTATTCTCTAACAAAGCAACATAGTTTTTAAGGGTAAATTTGACAGCTACAGAAACAACGTTACACGTAAAGCATCTTTCGCACGTTATACTCATTCGATATTAAAAAAAACTGGTCTTGTTCTTGAAAAAAAAAGACTCTTTGAAATGTGCTCTAACTCCGTTAAAGTGACTTGTCGACTGATTTTATAGAAAGTCTGCCCTACATAAACTTCCTAATTTTGACAGTATTAGTGAGAGTTCAAAAAGAGCCTAACGAAAACACGCGCGCATCCAGAAAACTAACATGCCTTAATTAAATAGCTGTAACAGAAGAACAGTCTCTACTGCACTTGATGCGGCCATGTCATTAACAGAAAGGGAAGCTTTGAAAAGTGTACACTGAGTATTGTGGTTCGTTTAATTATAAATAAGCCACTGTCACACAAAATGTCACCTAGTTGATGTGAACAGAAAATACACGCCAGCGGTGGAGACACAAAACGCATTCTTTACCGGTACGATGGTGCGCATAAAGCTTTGAATACATGCAGATTGTGTGTTTTTCCCCAGCTGGTAACAACCCGCAGTTGTGCCGTTCTTATCGTTTATTGTAGCGTTCTTTTAAAAAAAAGTACACCTAAAAAGTATACCGGGAATGACACCTACAACTGTTTCTTGGGCTCTGTATTCCTCATTTTGACTTGACTGAAACTTGACTGAATAATGAAAATTGGTAAACTATAACACCTAAATTAAACAACTATAGAATTTTCTGATATAGCTAGGAATTCGGTACTTTAGATAGCGAGGTACTTGAAGCCTTGAAAATGCTTTTCGCGCTGAATGAAAATGATGAGTTCTAATCAGACACCCTGCTTGCTTGCGTTACCATTCAACATCAAATCTCCTGCATGCTTGTTGCAACAGGTTAGCAGCAAATTTGCACTGAACCAAGAGTAAATGATGGAAATTCTCGAAGACCATTCTTCATGCCAGACATTACTCTGTTTTACCCTTCATACATTCACAACCGACGTCTCTCATAATCATATGGTGGTTTTGGGACGTTAAACCTCACAAATCAATCAATACATTCACAATAGCTGCGATAACGCACTGTACTGAATAATGTTTAAGATTGCGAAAGGAATGGCAGAGTGAAGGTCGCGAAACGCTACTACTGATAAGTTTCTTTGGATTTTTTCGCAGTCAGTCCAAGACATTACAGAGGTGGGTATACAGCAGACAGGGAAGCCATCGTAAGCTTTGTGCAACGACAGAGTGCGACAGCTATGTGAGCATGTCATACAATTCCTGGCCATTAGTCAGCACACCTGAACTTGAACTTGCGGAACTAAAAAGTTACATGCTCATTACTTATTTCACTAGCCCCGCCGTGGTGGTTTAGTGGCTAAGGTACTCGGCTGCTGACCCGCAGGTCGTGGGTTCAAATCCTGGCTGCGGCGGCTGCATTTCCGATGGAGGCGGAAATGTTGTAGGCCCATGTGCTCAGATTTGGGTGCACGTTGAAGAACCCCATGTGGTCGAAATTTCCGCAGCCCTCCACTACGGCGTCTCTCATATTTATATGGTGGTTTTGGGACGTCAACCCCCACAAATCAATCAACTTATTTAACTAAAAAAAATGCTTCAGTGGCAATACAACCTTTTCACTTGACTACGGAACGCAGCAATGATACGTATGTCCCGGTGATACGTTGATATCGCACCAAGGCTGATGTGGCAGTTCTCAGCAGCAATCAGATACGTCTCTTTTCTCCGAGGCCACGTGCTCTACAGTTTTAGAAAGTATTCCTCTTGGAACAAACGAACGAAAAAAAGCGGTGACGTGGTGACTACTTCTGTAGCAGTACGTGTTCTCTAGCAGTCATATTGTGAAGGATGTATAGGCTCCCCTAGCTGTAGAAAATGTTACAGAAATCCTCGAAAACTAATGAGAGCCTTATTAGTATAATTTTTCCCCTCCAGCACAAATCATTTGAAACTTTTGCACGAATGGTATTAGCTGATTTAGTACACATGATGTTAGCTAGGGGCAATGTATTGGCCTCTGTTCTCAATGCTGAGAGAGACAGCTACGGCAAGACTTGGCTTCACAAGAAAGTGACACCCTTGTGAGGTCAAGAACCAAATATTAGCTGTTCGTCTCTGATTCTTTTGGCTAGTCATATTTCCTTGTAGACTGCCATTTAGAGCACTCGATAAAAGTATGAGAGCTGCGGAACGATGGTTGGAAGTTTTTCACGCAGCAGACATGAAAAAAGAAACAGCGGCTGCCTCGCAGGACGCGTATGTACAAGTCACTGCTTAAATAGCGCGCACTGTGTGATAGCACACTTCTATTCTCGTTTTTCTCACTCAAGTTATTTTAACCATTTTTTTTGTTCGTTAACCCTCACCAAGCACCTTGTAACAAATCGCAAGACAAGGCAATTTCAAGCTATTAAGTGTGATGTGCATGTGCTTTTCCTTTAAACAGAAGTACTGCTGGTGTGAGACGCCTAGAAAACGCAACAGCAACCACGTTTTTTTTGTTTTTTTTTCAGGCAAAGCTTTGTATTTCGAATTGCAAAAAGTGAAACGAAAAGCGCCGTGAAAATTTTATCTTCATGAAAATCTGATTGGGATCAGTAAACTTGTGATTGATTTTAGCGCTGGTGTTGCATCTGTCTCTTCCTATTTTTAGTTTTCGCGAAATAGTTTCCGCAGTATCATCCCATATCAGCTGCCCCAACTTGCTTCTTAGAAGAATTGTATGATCTTGGTCTTGAGATTAGAGAGGTGATCACATGTATTTTATCATATATTATTTATCACTTAATTATTTTTCAGGAATATTTGTCACATACTATTTCATCACAGGTTAGATTATGACATGCTTTATCACATTACAAATATCGCAAATTGCTACTTCATTTGAAAGCACTCCTTGCTCAATGTTAAATTACCATACACAATAAAGTATTGCCTCGAAAGACTGATCATTAGCCTCGCCGGGAGAAAAATGTCAAAATTTCAGAATCTGTACGTACAACAGTAATTTTTGTATTGGGCAGTAGCGTTTCCTGGGTTCCTGGAGTGCTACCTATTGAAGGAAGATAATTTCAGTTATTTCTATGTGATCCACTGGCTTCTACGTATGTGTACGTGCCCCACGTTAGAATGAGACTTCTCGAAAGAATAGGCAGTTTTGTTAAAAACGTATCTACTTTAATATATTGATCCCGTAGGCATTATTATACTGTTTCTCAATAAACTTACGTAACAGAGAATAATACGAGTGTACATAATTGCGTCATTTCAATGGAAGACAAAAAAGTATGTTTTGTTAAATCTTCGCAGAGTGTCGCCATTCTACTGACAGCCATTCTCGCCACTGCCATGGCTGGTGGGCTCGGCTACGGTGGATCTGTACTTGGTTACGGCGGTGGAGGTTATGGCGCTGGGTCATACGGTGGCGGCTACGGCCTCGGTGGAGGCTTGGGAGCGGGGGGTGTGGGAGACGGAGGCGCAGGCATCGGTGGCAGCGTGGCCCTTGTGCGTGGCTCACCCGGATTGTATAGGGCTGTGCCTGGTCCAGCCTTCTTGGTCAGAACCATTCACCAAGTAAACAAGCTGTCCAGTGGTGGAGCACTGGTTGCACACTCCGGCCTCGGGGCCGAATCATATAGCGGATACGGAGGCGGATACGGAGGCGGATACGGAGGCGGCTACGGAGGCGGCTACGGTGGCAGCTACGGAGGCGGCTACGGTGGCGGCTACGGTGGCGGCTACGGAGGCGGCTACGGAGGAGGCTACGGAGGAGGCTACGGAGGAGGCTACGGAGGCGGCTACGGACGTGGCTACGGTGGCGGCTATGGTGGCGGCTATGGAGGCTTGGGATATGGAGCTGGTTATGGAGGGGGTTCAGGATACAGTCGTGGCTATGGATACAGTGGCTACGGGTACAAAGGTTAATTGCGTACTTTGTTCACACAAGAACTTTTATCTCTTACAGAAACGTAACAACACCGATTTGCTAAGGGCTTGCGTAAGTCACATTTTAGTGCTCTAAATGTTCCAAGGCTCAAAGGGTTCACCGTTAGTAGCTACCCATACCACGTTTACCTGATATAGTGTAAACAAGTTTGTTTGCAATGGTGGCATAATTAATGGCATCGGTATAATTATACAAGATGACTTTCAACTTATATTTAACCAAGGCGATTGAATTCCCTTGTTTTTACAGCATTCTTCCACTTTCTGTTTGCCTTCAAGTCATGTCAATCCTAATAATCATTTTAGGTACAGTGACATGTCTCTATAGGCTCTAAATGCCAAGTTGAAGTTTTCGCAGCCTAGGTTTGCAAATTTGATGACTCGTTGAACTCATAAACTTTTGAAAGTTCCATGCGTACACCAACGCCATCGAACAAAACAGCACTGATGGATACTCGAGCAGCCCTTCAGTTTGTGTGTGTCTGTGATATCGAAGGACCAAATAAATATTTATCACTGTAATCTGTGTCGTGGTCACATTTTTGAAACGATGGCAAGAGCGTTTTAAGCTAACTCTCTTTTCTCGAAACACGCTAGGTGCACATCAACGCTACCTATTCAATACAAATCAAACTGATAAGCGATGCGTCGCAAATCACCTCAAATAATTTAGAAAAGCTTAATGCATCTTATTATTATGAAGTGAACGCTGAGACATGCAAAAGCGTTGAAAAACATTTTACTTCATGAAGTAAAATTGTTTAGATTAGGTACACGCGGCTTTATTTCGAGTAAACACTTTGTCACCTTCGTACATGGTGTAGCACCCTGCAAAAAAAAAAATCCGGGTCTGCGAGAATATCGCTGCCTTTTTGTATGTATGTAATCGCCTGGGTAAGAGCGGGAGAACTGGTGTTTGCAAACGAACAAGAAACATAGCGAATTCCTTGTGGTGGTATATGAATGCTTGGCTTTGGTTGAAGCCTGATGCCCTGAGTACCACGGCCAAGGCACACGCATATTTAGGCGGAATCCAATGCTTCGCATGAGAAAACAGTGTAAGAGTCACTGGATTGCGCCTACAGGCATGTCTGTGCCGACTGAGGGGCGCTACGTTTACCAACTTTGTACTAACCGTTTATAAGCGTTTTATTAGGCAATTTCAATAGCATCTACCCTTGGTAAATTTAAAGTCGCTAGACTGTCTTATATACAAGCTACCGACAATTCGTCGAGTATTGGCCACTAATAAAAAGAGAAATTTCCTTGTAGGGCCGGTCAGCAGGCTACGACATTTTTTTACAACCCTTCCAGAATCTCTGAAATTCACAGAGTAGACCATGGTGATAACGTATTCCGAATATGACAGCGCTGCGCGCTGCGCAGAGCGCAAAGTCGCGATCGGTGATTTGACGTAGCACGCAACTCGTCGATTCATCTCAACCAGTCGTCACGATGGGCTGAACCTTCTTCTTCTGTGTGGGAGAAAAGTGGCAATACCGCGCGAAAATTTTAAACTAGCTGATACCAATTTTTTCACCGCTGTAACTTCCTTATTATAGAACGTATTCGCTAAACTCTTGCGGCAGCATGTTCACAAAGCAAAAGTGCTTATATTTCGTTTAAACCTCGGGGTTGTCTACTAGCCTTTTTCAACAAACGTTCAGTGGACAATGAATCAACGTGCTGAAGACCGTCTTATGTCTTCCAGCTCTGAGTGGACCGTCTTCAAGCCATTTATTCAAAAATATAATACAACGGCCACCAATAAAAATAGAAATTATCTCAGTAACATTCAATAGGCAATATAGGAACGGTAAATTGTAAATTGGTATATTGTTCTGAGAGTGTGCCTATCGCAAATGTTTTTTTTTTCAATAATAATCATTGAAGTGTTATTGATGTATCCGGCCTAATGAGCATTACTCTCGCTTCAAGAGAATGGCCCAATTTAAAGGAGGCATTTCTGCGCCGCATGTTCCAGACACCGTTCTTTGCATGAAAGGGTGTACACCTACACTTGGTGGCCCTCCAAAATTGAGAATGATCTCAAGCAGGCAACATAGCTTTAAAGTTCTTGTGAAGTACAATAGAACTTTTTATGAAGCAGTTCCTGAACACAACACATGCCTCACATTTTGCTAGCTGCGGCAAGACACAATTTCAAGCTTATTGGAAACTTTATATTTAATGCAATGTGCATTATTTGAAAAAAAATTCAAGAATCTGGGATGTGCGCCAGCGTTTTCGAGTACACGTCGACAATAACGACGCTTGAAGTCAGTGAATGAAGGTCCGATGAATACCAGAAGAGTTCCTGTCAAATACAAAGAATATAACTACTAAATAAAAAGTTCATCTTTTAAATAGTTAAATGAGAATGAGTTTATTCAAAGGTGTATAAAGGATACGTACATAATAGTTGAACCAATAGCCTACGCCGCGACTAGCTGGTCGAATAGAGAAAATACATAATAGTTAACAACACACGTGATTGGTAAATGAAATGGTTGATCTTATACATATGGAATGATGTACAATTCTACCTATAGAAAGGTGGTTACAATTCACTAGATAAGTCAAAGCGTTTACAAGAATGGTTGAAGTTACGCAGAGTCTTTTTTTTATAGAGGCCTAGTGTTTCATGTTTCAGCTCCAAAGAATTCTAACAATCGTTCAGCGTAAACATTGTTGTATCGAGGAAGATTTAAACTTATCTAACTTGTTTGCGCAGTGTTTGCACGTGGGAAGTTGAATATGTTGTTGGGTAGTGGACAATTCGTGTTCACTTTTTTGTTAACTGAGCAAGCTACCCTATAAGTCTTTAGCGCCGTAAGTGGCAGATTTTGAAAATCATTAAATTGGACGCTATTGCGGTAATGAACGGGAGAGAATTATATTATTCCTAAAGTGCGTTTCCGTAACTGCAGTATAGATCTTGTATGTTAGGCCCCAAGCCTCAGAGCAAAAGTAGAGGTGTGAATGAAACAAGGAAATGTATATGCAAAGAAGAAGAGAACGAGGAAAGCATTGGCGGGAACGGACCAGTGCATTACAGCTAAACGCTAGTTTTCTACACGCAGCGTTGATTTGGTCTCTCCAGTGCAAGTGATGGTCAATACCACTGCTATATATTTGAATAAGTGGAGCCTATTCATAGTTAGGTTCGCCACAGAAATATTAGTGTTGGTGTATTGCACTATTTTGTAATTTGCTTCTTGAGTGAAATACGACATACTGAGTTTTCTCGGCATTTGTGGCTAGCCTGTTATTGGTTATAACCATATAATATTGGCATTTTAATGACCTATATATTATTCACTATCGATATAACGCCCTACAGTGAAAAGAGTGAGTTACATGTGCAAAGTAACGCTGTGTCATCAGCATACAGCAAGAGTTTGGTGAACTTAAGAGCTTGTGGTAGATAATTTACGTATCAACATAAGAGAAAAGAAGGCACCATAAGTAGATGAACGTGTACCTATGAATGTTTTGATATAGCGCGGATCATACAAAAAGGCATTTAACGCGTAAACTGCTTACAGCGTGGCAAAAATGCACATTAATAGTAGCAAAATATTGATTTTCAAAAAATAAAACGTAAATTGTTTAGCACAGCATACAAACTAGGAGACGTCCAAGAGTGAAGCAACTACCGTTATCTCTCACACTACTGTTTTGTAACAGTGCTAGTATGCCGAACTTCATTACTGCTGTGTGGAAACATTTATAGACCATACCATTCTTAAACCCACTTTATTAGTTAAGACTATGAAAGTTTGCATTTTTATTGCTGTAACGCCTTTTATGCAGTCCAAACTTGCCTTGAAGTGATTTTCTTATGCTTGAAGCATTCAGAAAAGACGAGTTTTTCATTGATGCTGAAGTCAGTGATGCTGAGCACAATTGGCTGCAGGTGCAACCAAATATTTTTTCTCCTGATGATAAAAAAAGCTTGTTAAACTGTGGGCGCAGGGTGATGGAGGGCAGGCGACTTACGCAGAAAAAAAAATTTGTTCACGTTTTTATGATCAGAGTAAATGCAGCCCTTCTAAAATATTTTACTTTTTGAGTTCTCCTCATACTTAGTAGGTTTTAAGTGATTTATTTATAGTCTTTTTCTGCTTTACAATGATGGCTTGCCAAAATACACAACAAACAGCACGTGTCAATATGCCGATCACTGCGTTCTTTACCACACTGTTAACTCTAATGAAGGCCAGACAAATCCTCATGGTGCGTTCTCCAACTTTTGCTTATGTCGCAATGCCTGGCAAATGAGTATCAACTTCACAAAAGCTGTTTCAATGACATTCACTAGGCGTGTAGCTGCCTCAGTTTTCACGTACTCTTCAAATAATTGTTCTTTACACAAACGACCCGAGGACAAGTATCTAGGTGGTCTATTTGCTGACAAATAACCCTGCAGCAAACATATTCAAACCATATGCAATGAATCATTAAAAACACTCGGCTCCTCGAAGCGCACCCTTCGAGTAGCTTCACAAGAAACCAAACTACACACGTACCAAACACGAATCTGTCGAGCCCCAGAATATGCATCTGTTGTTCGCAATCCATTTCATAACAACAATATTAACAGGATTGACTCCGTTAAAAAAAGCTACTTGTTTTATCTACTGTCACTACGATAGGCACTTTTCACTCTGTTCTGAACTTTCTAATCTAAGTCTGACCTCTCTGCAACACGTCGCCACGAGGAAAGCTTAAAGTTCATGCATGCCTTGATTTACTCCCCACGTTCTGCCCATTTCAACGAGTGCTTTCAGTACGCATAACTTTTCTGCTCTTGTAGCTCACATAATTCTACTTTTTGCAGTTTAAAGTAAGAGCTGATTTGTTCAAATATAGTAGTTTTCCTGCAACAATTGAACGTTGCGATGCTCTGCCTGTGTTTGTTGGTACTTTGCCAATGACCGATGTTTTGTCTGTCCTTGAAATATGATGTTATCACCACTCCTGTCAAGCCCATGATGTGCTGCAGTATGTATAATTAGGTAACTAATTGAATGAATAAATAAGTGAATAAATAAACAGATAAATAAATGAAACTTGTAATGCCAATAAAGCACTTGTACAGTAGAAAATGAAAGTAGCTAACGTGGTTGCTTGGGCGAGTTGGTACACTCTGTTTTCTTTGTTTTGTATTTTCTCTTGTTTGTAAGATACTGCCCAAGTATATATTGTGTTGTTCTAGCAAATAAATCTTGTTGTGAGTCAGTGCCACTGTCTGTCTTCTTCTCCTCCTGTACCCCGTTCTTGGCGCTGTTTTTTATGTGAACAAAATAAAAGCTTTTCAGTTTTACTTGCACAACCCATCTCCAGCTTCTCAGGCCACTTTGGTTCCTTTGGCAGGAGTGGGGCCAAGGTGCTCCTTCCCTACGGTACCTACATAGCCGGAAGTCTAAAATAAGCAGAAGAAGTAAGTATCACAAGTTTCACAAGACGGAGAGTTACGCGAAATATGCTCCCACGACGCTGGAGTTTACTTTTTCAGT